CTGCCAACAACCTCTTCCAATTCTTTATCGGCTGAGAGGGCGTAGGAATCATATCTTTTCTCCTAATTAGCTGATGATACGCTCGAACAGACGCCAATACAGCAGCCATCCAAGCAATCTTATATAATCGCATTGGCGACATTGGCCTTATCCTAGCCATAGCATGATTTCTCCTACATTGTAACTCATGAGACCTCCAACAAATACTAGCCCTAAATCTCAACTCAAACCCCCTCCCACTAATAGGCCTCCTCCTAGCAGCAGCAGGAAAATCAGCTCAATTCGGCCTTCACCCCTGACTACCCTCTGCCATAGAAGGCCCAACTCCAGTCTCAGCCCTACTTCACTCCAGTACCATAGTTGTTGCCGGGGTGTTCTTACTCATCCGCTTCCACCCTCTAATAGAAACCAACACAATGATTCAAAATCTTACATTATGCCTGGGGGCTATTACTACCCTATTTACAGCCATCTGCGCCCTCACACAAAACGACATTAAAAAAATTGTAGCCTTCTCTACCTCAAGCCAACTAGGCCTAATAATAATCACCATTGGTATCAACCAACCATACTTAGCATTCCTACACATCTGCACCCATGCTTTCTTTAAAGCCATACTTTTTATATGCTCCGGATCCATTATCCATAACCTAAACAACGAACAAGACATTCGAAAAATGGGAGGCCTGTTCAAAACAATACCTCTCACCTCAACTTCCATAATCATTGGCAACCTAGCACTTACAGGAATACCCTTCCTCACAGGCTTCTACTCCAAAGACCTTATTATCGAAGCCACAAACACGTCGTACACCAACGCCTGAGCCCTATTCATTACTCTCATCACTACCTCTCTAACAAGCGCCTACAGCACTCGAACTATCCTCCTCACCCTAACAGGACAACCCCGTTTTCCAGCCCTAACAAACATCAACGAAAACAACCCCACCCTACTAAACCCAATTACATTATGTATGTATTATGGACCAGTTGTTAATAACAAAATTTATACCTTTGCTATAAACTATGGATAGACTAGTTTATAGCAAAATGTCTAAAAGGTATATTAGGTATATTGCTCTTATAAGGTCACTTCCTTTCTTGGTCACCTGTTAGGCAGAGGTGGCTGCTCCCATTCTCTTGCCCCATAACTCACTTGTCATAGAGCCTGCTTATCTGATACATGTCGTATCCCTCAACTGGAATGTCAACCTCTTAAGGACTAGGACCTTGTCCCTTTGTACTGGTATCCCCAGTAGTGGTTTCTAGCATGTTTTTGTTGTTTGTTTTTTTGAGACTAGGTCTTGCTGTGTTACCCAGGCTGGAGTGCAGTGGCACAATCACAACTCACTGCACCCTCCACCTCCTGGGCACAAGTGATCCTGACTCTCCCACCTCATTCTCCCAAGTAGCTGGAACCACAGATATACACCACCCTGCCCGGCTAAGTTTTGTATTTTTTTGTAGAGATGGAGTTTCACCGTGTTGCCCAGGCTGGTCTCAAACTCCTGATCTAATGGCTTAAAGAGGACCAAAACATTTTAATATTTGCTATTTCCCAAATATTTCTCAGTAGACAGGGGCATTGACAGACTCTTGTTTTCCAGCAGTCTGCAGAGGTATTCAGAAATGATTCTGCCCAGTCCTAGGCAAATCTCTTGTGGTGTTTGTGGGAAGCCAGAAAGATCCTTGCCTGGAGCCACAGGTGGTGCTGACTCCAGTGCTTACTGCCTCAGGCCTTTGTTCAAGTGTCACCTTATCCATGATGTTGGCCTCTTTAAAACTGCAGTCCTGCCCATCCTGATCTTTCTTACTGTTTTTTCATACCACACACATATCCATACTGTTTACTAACTTGTATTTACTATGTTTACCCCTGCTAGACTCTTGAGTCTTAAAATTTAGTAGGACTCTCTGTGTGCTCTGTTCACTGGTATATCTCAAGCACCTAGAACAGGGTTCCTCAACCCCTGGGCCGCAGACTAGTACTGGTCCGTGGCCTGTTAGGAACTGGGCCACACAGCAGAAGATGAGCAGGCAGGCGAGCATTACCGCCTGAGCTCTGCCTCCTGTCAGATCGGCAGCATTCGATTCTCACAGGAGCTGAACCCTATTGTGAACTGCGCATGCAGGGGATCTAGGTTGTGCGCTCCTTATGAGAATCTGATGCATCACCCCCACCCCTGGTCTGTGGAAACACTGTCTTCCATGAAACTGGTCCCTGGTGCCAGAAAGGTTGGGGACTGCTGACCTAGAACAATACCTTATGGAAGACCTAGACTCAGAGGGCGGTACCTAGGTAATTAGGAAGTATAGGAAGTTGATCGGTTCTTGGAAGCTGTGACTTGAAGCAAAATGATGCACTGTATAACAAAGCCAGTTTTACCACAGTTGATACTGTCAAAAGAAAAACTTCGGCTGAATTCAATTTAAAAGAGCTTAATTGAGCAAGGAATGATTCACAAATTGCACAGCCTGCTGAGCCAGAGTAGGCTCAGAGACTCCACTGCAGTCATGTGGTGGAAGATAATTTATGGACAGGAAAAAGCAAGCAATGGACAGAAAAAGGAAAAGTGACGTACAGAAAATGGAAGTGAGGTACAGAAACAGCTGGATTGGTTATAGCTCGGCATTTACCCTATTTGAACACGGTTCAAACAGTTGGCCACATCTGATTGGTCAAAAGTTGGGGACTGGCATGAGTGCAGGCTAGTCTGTCTACACCCCCACTTGTTATAGTCCACGATGAAGAGAAACCTTTAGGCCAAATTTAAAATATGTAAGGAGGCAGCTTTAGGCTAAACTTAACAACACAAACAAGAGTTAACTTCCTATGACATATACTTTAAGTCACAGTTTGCGAGAACCTACTGAGAACATTAAGTGAGGACTTCTGTCACTAAACAGAAAGGAGTTACTAAGTCAAGAATGAAGATCTCATTGCATTTGCTAGAGCAAAGCTGCTCATCCCTGCTTGCATGTCTTTAGTGTTGAGGGTAAAGGCCATAGTGCCCTGGAAGGTGAACTTCAGAGGTTGTTAAAGGGTCATGGAAATAAAGAGGAGGCGGGGTCTTGGATTGTGGTTGCAGAGCACTATAAACTGACCATAACCAGATGGTGTTCTTTTAAACAGGTATAAAAGTTTGGTCACTGGGACCCGAGCAAGAGGGGTCATTGCTGTCCTCTGGGTCCTTGCCTTTGGCATCGGATTGACTCCATTCCTGGGGTGGAACAGTAAAGACAGTGCCACCAACTGCACAGAACCCTGGGATGGAACCACAAATGAAAGCTGCTGCCTCGTGAAGTGTCTCTTTGAGAATGTGGTCCCCATGAGCTACATGGTGTATTTCAATTTCTTTGGGTGTGTTCTGCCCCCACTGCTTATAATGCTGGTGATCTACATCAAGATCTTCATGGTGGCCTGCAGGCAGCTTCAGCGCACTGAGCTGATGGACCACTCGAGGACTACCCTCCAGCGGGAGATCCATGCAGCCAAGTCACTGGCCATGATTGTGGGGATTTTTGCCCTGTGCTGGCTACCAGTGCATGCTGTTAACTGTGTCACTCTTTTCCAGCCAACTCAGGGTAAAAATAAGCCCAAGTGGGCAATGAACATGGCCATTCTTCTGTCACATGCCAATTCAGTTGTCAATCCCATTGTCTATGCTTACCGGAACCGAGACTTCCGCTCTACTTTTCGCAAAATTATCTCCAGGTATCTTCTCTGCCAAGCAGATGTCAAGAGTGGGGATGGTCAGGCTGGGGTACAGCCTGCTCTCGGTGTGGGCCTATGATGTAGGCTCTCACCTCTTCCAGGAGAAGATACAAATCCACAGGAAACAAAGAGGACACGGCTGGCTTATTCTCATTGTGAAAGATAGCTACACCTCACAAGGACATGGACTGCCTTTCTTGAGCACTTCCCTGGACCCACCACGTATCTAGCTAATACGTATGTGTCACTAGTAGGCTCCAAGGGTTGACAAATATATTTATGATCTATTCAGCTGCTTTTACTGTGTGGATGACGCTGACAGCTTGAATGGATTCTAAGAGACACTTTTGTTTTTAAAAGTCTGCCTTGTTTATGGTGGAAAATTACTGAAACTATTTTACTGTGAAACACTGTGAACTATTATAATGCAAATCATTTTTAACTTAGAGGCAATGGAAAAATAAAAGTTGGCCGTACTAAAAATGTATACTTGTTCCTAGGAAGGTGATCTCAAAAATTAAAAGTATAATTATTCGGCTGGGCGCGGTGGCTCACACCTGTAATCCCAGCACTTTCGGAGGCCAAGGCGGGCGGATCATGAGGTTAGGAGTTCAAAACCAGCCTGTCCAATATGGTGCAACCCCATCTCTACTAAAAAATACAAAAATTAGCCAGGTATGGTGGCACGTGCCTGTAGTCCCAGCTACTTGGGAGGCTGAGGCAGGAGAATCACGTGAATCTGGGAGGTGGAGGCTGCAGTGAGCCCAGATTGCATCACTGCACTCCAGCCTGGGTGACAGAGTGAGACTCCGTCTCAAAAAAAAAAAAAGTATAATTATTCAATCAAAAAACTGCTGTATTAATTTAGGGAAATGATATTCTCATAAGTCAAATTTTCATCATGTAATTTTAAGCTCCATTCCTTTCCATATACAGAAAACTACCCGTGGGGAAGAAACTGGTGAAATGGGATCCCTCCTCTACCAAATTCTGCCTTCTAGAGCTAGGTAGGGAATTTTGCTTCTCTCCAAAGTTGAAGTTTCGTTAAGTTCTTGGAACCCAAAGTGTGAAAATTTTACTAAGTAAAATAATTTAACTCTGTGTGTATACAAAAAAATTAGCCGGGCGTGGTGGTGGGCACCTGTAGTCCCAGCTACTCAGGAGGCTGAGGCAGGAGAATAGCTTGAACCTGGGAGGCAGAGCTTGCAATGAGCTGAGATCATGCCACTGCACTCCAGCCTGGGCAGCAGAGTGAGACTCCGTCTCAAAATAAAAGGCTAAGTAATGTGGACACAACATGATATTAGGCTTTATTTGAATTTAAAATCTTGATTCCATCCAGGGACATTTTTTACCCAAGCACCTCAGAGACTGGCTTAGGGTTTTTCTTGAGAAGACTGTACAAGGCTTCTAATCATACGCAAACCCTCCACAGCCCACGGCTCCAACCCACAGCACCTCCTGCAGTCCTGGAGGGAAAAGGGATAGTAACATGAAGTGTCTGAAGATCTATTTCACCTCTTTTCCTTGTGAATCGTGACATTTTAAATGCATTTCTTGACAGGATTCTATTTTGAAAGAAGGATGCTCAATCTGTACCTTTTATGCTTCTTGTTTCTTCTCCATCAATAATATGTCAGTCAACTGCTTGTCGGAGACACTTAGCTGCTGACAAGTCCTCATAACCTGACTAAGGTAAACTGCCAAGAGATGCTTGCACTGGAATATAAAACACACACACCTATTAGAAATAGGCAGGGCCGAGGCTGGCCAGTCTAACCAAGATTTCTCATTACCATCTTATTTGGCAGGAAAAGACTAGAGCACACAGATTACAGGGTCTCTAACTGATTGTCTAAAAACTGTGGACAGGCCGGGCATGGTGGCTCATGCCTGTCATCCCAGCACTTTGGGAGGCCGAGGCATGTGGATCACTTGAGGTCAGGAGTTCAAGACCAGCTGGGCTGATGTGGCAAAACCCCATCTCCACTAAAAATACAAAAATTAGCTGGGCATGGTGGTGCACGCCTGTAATTCCAGATACTCAGGAGGCTGAGGCATGAGAATCGCTTGAACCCAGGAGGTAGAGGTTGCAGTGAGCTGAGATCACGCCACTGCACTATAGCCTGGGCGACAGAGCCAGACTCCATCTCAAAAAATAAATAAATAAAAACTGCAGATAAAGATAATGAGACAGGTGTATTCTCTTTAGAAATCAGAGTGGACAAAGACAGACTTACTTTGCCTGCTGCTTTGGAAAACGGCTTAGATCCATCAGGCACAAGGTATGTAACCCATGGTGAAAACCAAGACTAGCTGCGCTCCTCACTTTAGTCCTAAGTGATATTTCTTCCTTGCCTTCAGAAAGCTGTCACAGCAATGGCTAACATTCCTTGAGGCACTATGCTGTGAAGTGCTTTCCACAGATTACCTCACTGAAATCTGACAGCTCCCTAGGAAGACAGGTATTGTACCCAGATGCTCATCAGAGTCTCTAGGCTACTCTCTTAGCTACTGTGTTATACTTCTGGGGTTGGGGGGCGGGGAGTAGTGGCGAAACTCTTGCATATATTGGCCTGTACACGCTTCTGGGGAGATGATTATGTTGCAGCTGATGTCAGAGAACACAGCTTTATGTTGCAGCTGATGTCAGAGAACACAGCTTTAGATCCTGAAGGGGCCCTGGTTCAATCCTGTCTCTTGCAGTTGAGATAAACTTCCGGCACATCAGTTATGAATGTGGTCTCTTGTACAATGGTATACCCAACTTGCCAGCCAGGTCCCAAGATGTTTAAGAAGTTAACAGTGTAAAAGAAGGGAAGAATGGAGTGGACACCATTATTTGCTTCTTTGGCAAGACTTAAAAAATAGCTGCCTGCTTTCAGGAAGGTGGCGTTTTTCCCTTTGGAATAAGGTGTGTATGAGTATGTCCTGTTTCTGCTTCATGATCTGGACTCTGATGAAATTGGCAAAGGCTTAAAGGAATAGGTGAAGGTACTCATGCCCCATGTGAAGGTCAAGTGTGGTGTCAGGCTGTCTTACAGGTAGTGCAAAGATATACGACATGGCTGAAGGTAGGATATGCAAAGTTGCCAACATCGAATTTTAGTTCATACTTTTATGGGGCCATCTAATTCCCCTTTTTTTCCTTCTCAAAGCTTCACTCATGATCTTTTAAATAAAAATTCAGGAAATTGATGTAGTTCTAAAAATGACATTGCATTTTGAGAGGCTAAACCCCTAAGAGATGACTAACTGAAGTCAAGGACAAAAAGCTACCATTTGTTTCAACATGTAGTAAGATTCCCATTTTGTAGAATAGTTAAACCACAAAGTAAGGCCAATTTCTCTCTACATTCAACTACAGTGGGAAGAGCCTTCCCCGTCCTCACCAGGATGCTGTCACTCTTCCGTAGCACTGAGAAGGCAAATGCAGGACATGAACAGTAATGACAAGAAGCCAGACACGTGTATGTTTTACCAGAACTTCCAAGCACCTACAAAGAAAGGATAGATGGGATCAGACCTCAGATGATGTGCTGGAAAAACCACCTCTTTCCCTTTTTATCTATGTAGACTCAGAGCTGCTCTGCAAATTGCACTGAGAAGAACTGCAGTTATGTTTTACATGAAAGACGAAACAACTTCTCTTCCTCCAGCGTGCAGACTCTCCCTTCCTCACCTCAGTGCTTACCTTTAGGACTTCATATAAAGGAATTGAAAAGTTTCAGATTAGTTCAACCAACCACATAGACCATTCTCTTCCGACGCCTAGTGGTTCATGGGGCCCACTCTATGGGCAGACTGTAAGAAGGAAGTGGAGGGGCAATCTCTCATCTACATTTCATTGTGGGGGTTCTTAACCTTTGGTATTTCACAGCAGGTGTGTAAATTTCTAAAGCTTCCTACATACCTAAAGAGAGAGTAAAAACAGGCAAAGCATCAGTAGCAGGGCAGGAGTAAGACAGGTCTCAGGCCAGGTGTGGTGGCTCAAGCCTGTAATCCCAGCACTTTGGGAGGTTGAGGTGGGAGGATCACTTGAGCCCCAGAGTTCAAGACCAGCCTGGGCAACATGGTGAGACCTCGTCTCTATTAAAAAAATTTTTTTTTAAAGTCAGGTGTGGTAGCACATGCCAGTAGTCCCAGCTACTTGGGAGGCTGAGAGGGGAGGAATGCTTGAGCCTGGGAGGTCAAGGCTGCAGTGAGCTGTGATTGCACCACTGCACTGCAGCCTGGGTGACAAAGACCCCGTCTTTAAAATAAAGATAGGTCATAGAAGAAAAGAAGAAACTGGGAAGAGGCTTTTGAAAAGCATTTGGGAACAGGAGAGCAGAGAGAATAAATAAAGCAAAGACCCTTGTGAAAGGAATGACTCAGCTGTTAAGGATGGAGGTCTCAGGAAAAGAGGCAGGCCCAGATCTGCCTACTCATCTAGCAGGATGGAAGGAGGACCCTGATACATAGTGGGCTGGGAAGAGGCACAGTCTAACAGTCTTGGTGGTGGTCAAGAGGGACAAAAAGGAAAGGTACAGGAAAAACAAGATACATCTGTAGTATGATTGCACAAATTTGTTGGAGAAATCCTTTAAGTCTCTCTACCACCAGCCAGTCAAAAACTTTTTGTTGAGGTCTTCATTCCTAGAGTTAACTTCCCAGTTGGAGGCGTAAGATTCTTATTAGTATCTGAGGGAAGCAGAAATGTCCTGAGGGTGATTTTATAATGAATTGCCACTTAGGAATTTGCCACACGGCCTTCAAAGCACTTTTAGGCTCTCAGATGGCAATCTAAATGAAAAAGCAAGAACTTTAAAATTTTTTTTGAATTACAATGTTAGCACTCCTAGGATTCTTTAACCTTTCTTACCCGCAGAGAATGAAGCTACAGGTGTGGTCTGACTGCAAGAACAAACAGCAGGTTCCAGTGCTGCGCTTTTGTCGCATTTTCAGCGGTTCATATAATGCAGTTATCCCACTACAGCTTTTATTAACATTTTTTTAAAATTTCTATTTTTTGGAGACAGGGTCTTGTTCTGTCATCCAGGCTGGAGTACAGTGGTGTGATCATAGCTCATTGCAATCTTCAATTCCTCGGCTAAAGTGATCCTCCCACCTCAGTGTCCTGAGTAGGCAGGAGTACTGGCGTGCACCACCACCACACTATGCTAATTTTAAACATTTTTTGTAGAGATGGGGTCTTGCTATGTTGTCCAGGCTGGACTTGAACTGCTGGGCTTAAGTGATCCTCCCACCTTGGCCTCCCAAAGCACTGGGATTACAGGCATGAGCTACCACAGCCAGCCTCAGTGTGGTTTTTTGACAGTCAGAATTCCTTGGGAGTTACCAAAAATGGCCAATGATTGGGTAAGAAGATACCTACTGAACACATTCAAGATTTCAGTTGAGGCCGGGCACAGTGGCTTACGTCTGTAATTTCAGCACTTTGGGAGGCCGAGGTGGGAGGATCATGAGCTCAGGAGTTCAAGACCAGCCTGGTCAATATGGTGAAATCCCGTCTCTACTAAAAATATGAAAACTGGCTGGGCATGGTGGTGAGTGCCTGTAATTCCAGCTACTCAGGAGGCTGAGGCAGGGGAATCGCTTGAACCCAGGAGGCGGAGGCTGCAGTGGGCCAAGATTGCATCACTGTACTCCAGCCTGGGGGACAGGGCAAGACTCTGTCTCAAAAAAAAAAAAATTTCCGCCCAGTTACAAATTAGGTGTTGAAAAAGCACACCTTGCATATTACCTACCGCAAGGCTCTGACGTGTTATTAACATATCACCTAAACCATTCAGTATCAATGGAGAGATTTCCCCGCATGTGTGGAAGCTTACACTGAAGGAAGAGCATTAAAGCAGATTGGTTTTCACTTAATCCTAAAGAAAAAACCCACAACATCCAGCAGTGACATGTATAATTCTTTTTTTTTTTTTTGAGACTCCATCTCAAAAAAAAAAAAAAAAGTTCAACTGCCTAAAGCAATAAACACTGAAAGAGGTTAAATTTTGAATTTGCTTTTCGCTTATCTAGCAGTAGACAACTAATGAACCCAATAATCAGGCAAAATCTGAGTTAGAAACATTTAGAACTGGAAATTGACCTTAAGGATAACATAATTCAATTCCTTCACCCTTCAGTGAAAAAACAACTTCCTCTTACAGGAATTGCTCCTAGTTTTCCTGCTTATAGTCTGGAATGTTTATCCCCAGAAGGAGAGAGCTTTTTAAAAAAGGAACATGCTGGAAAGAGGATACTCAGACCATGGCTGACTGCACTTGTAGGAACCTCATTTGGAGGTGGTTTCTACTATGGTTCTACTGTGGTTTCAGTTAGGTCACCAGGAGAGGTGACCCATGTACGAGGTCATCCATTCATGGGTACAGTTTTATTTTATGACTGCTCCAAGCCTCTTAGGACACTCTACAGTGTCTCTGTTGTTCCTTGTGTTGGGTGCTTCTCTCTGAAAACAGGATTATACATTCCTGTCCTGTTGAATACAGGCTGGCCATGTGACCTGCTTTAGTAAAATCTGAGTAGCCAAGCAGAAAAATGTTAAAAATTGTGTACCATGTTTTCCTTTTTCTCTTTGAGATTCACAGTGTTCCAGATATGGGCTGCTTCACTCACTGGGATCCCTGCATGAAGCTGTTTTGGAATAGAGCTACAACTGACTCCTGGTGGATACACAGCATGAATGAGATCTGAAACTTTGTTTTTGTAAGCCTTTCAGATTTGTGGTCATTGTTACCACAGCATAACTTAGCCTCTCCTGATTGAAATATCTCCCTTCTTAAGTGAACCAAAAAAGTATAACAAGTGGCCAGGTGCGGAGGCTCAGGCCTGTAATCCCAACACTTTGGAAAGCAAAGGTGGTGGATCACCTGAGGTCAGGAGTTCCAGACCAGCCTGGCCAACATGGTGAAACTCCGTCTCTACTAAAAATACAAAAATCAGCCAGGCGTGGTAGTGCACACCTGTAATCCCAGCTACTCAGGAGGCTGAGGCAGGAGAATCGCTTGAACCCAGGAGGCAGAGGTTGCGGTGAGCCAAGCATGCCATTGCATTGCAGCCTGGGCAACAGAGCGAGACTCCGCCTCAAAAAAAAAAAAAAAAGTATAGAAAACAACTCAGGTGTCAGCAACATAACAATGACTTTAGAATTTTTTCACATTACATCTGGAGAACAATAATATTAGAGTTGACCTATGGGATGAAGATTGACCTATGAAAAGATAACTAGCTGGGCATTGAGGCAGTATGTGACTCAACTTTTATCATCTCATAGAACTCCTGAATTCAGCCAAATTCTTACTATATTACCATACAATGCAACCATTAAGGTTAATTTGAGGGTGTATAAGATTTCTGCAGCTTCATTTAATTCAAAGTCCAAGATGACAGTAACAATTCTTGGAAGTTAGTATTTTATAATTAATAAAGCAATATAATATATACCAGATGTGAATGACAAAAACTAAACAAATAACTTAAACAAGTTACTGTTGACCAATGGGAAGAACAAAAAGTCAACAGTAATTAAAATATTTCAAACAAAAGTCTACTTGCCTAGGTCAAGTGTTGTGCCCATAATGGAATCAAGACCAAATATCCCAAACTAAAGCAAAGTGAAAAACCTGAAGGTCCCTCTAATTTCGGGTATTTTAGCTACCTAAAAACCAAAAATAAAAACACCAGGAAAGAGGACAGACACACTTCCTCAGGTACAAACTGTAAGTTCAGTGACTTCGATTATTAATCTCTAAGTTCTCCATGAGAAAATTCATCTAATAGGCAGTCTCTTTTGAGTAGGCCAATACCATCCAAAAGTTTTTTTTTTTTTTTTGAGATGGAGTTCTGCTCTTGTCATGTCACCCAAGCTGGAGTGCAATGGTAAGATTTTGGCTCACTGCAACCTCCTTCTCCCGAGTTCAAATGATTCTCCTGCCTCAACCTCCCGAGTAGCGGGAATTACAGGCGCCCGCCACCACACCCAGTTAATTTTTGTATTTTTAGTAGACACGGGGTTTCACCATGTTGGCAAGCTGGTCTTGAACTCCTGACCTCAGGTGATCCACCTGCCTCGGCCTCCCAAAGTGCTGGGATTACAGGTGTGAGTCACCATGCCTGTCCATCCAAAAGTTTTAAACACAGCAACCAACACTAATTACCATATTTTCCTTAATGCAGAAATGCATGAAGATTTTACCAGATCAGTGTGAGGAAGGGCAAGTTAATTCACTCAGCAAAGGCATCTATCTGCCCAACCAGGCTTTGCTCGAGCCATTCACTCCCTAAGACCACTCACACGATCTTTCAATGAGAGTTAACCAATATGGTCTCACCTCTGAGTAGATAACTGTAAATAAACCAGAATTCAAACTCTGAAAAATTTACCCTTTTCTGGTCTCAGTAAGGCCTGGATTACATACAAGAGCTGATGGCTTTTAGACAGACACAAGACACATGGCTTCCAAGACAGACACAAAATTTTGGACACCACTGCCAATATTTTCATTTCATTCATGATTTCCTTCCTTCAATCCCAGCTGCACTTACCACTGTGTCTCATATAGCTAAACTGGGGTTGGGTGGTACAGGGAGAAGGGTCAGGTGGTTGGAGTCTGGCTCCCTGTTTATATAGTCTTTATTCATGTCTCATAAGACAGGCAGTGTGGGGTAGCCAGATGTGACTGTTCCTTTACTTTTCTGCATTTCCGTTTCCTGCAAAAGAAATAAACTTGCTGGGTTTTTGCAGAGATGGGTCTTACTATGTTGCCTGGGTCAATAGAGGGTGAGATTATAGGCGTGAGCCACCATGCCAGGTGAGCAGACTTCTACACAATGCTCTTAGGTACAGTTAGTAGGTATTTATCTTATTATTATTATTTTTTTGAGATGGAATTTCACTCTTGTTTTGCAAGCTGGAGTACAGTGGCACGATCTTGGCTCACTGCAACCTCTGCCTCCCAGGTTCAAGCCATTCTCCTGCCTCAGCCTCCCAAGTAGCTGGGACTGCAGGTGTGTGCCACCACACTCGGCTAATTTTTTGTATTTTTAGTAGAAAGGAGGTTTCACCATGTTAGCCAGGATGGTCTTGAACTCCTGACCTCAGGTGATCCGCTTGCCTTGGCCTTCCAAAGTGCTGGGATTACAGGCGTGAGCCACCACACCCAGCCATCTTATTTTAGTTACAAAAATGTCTGGAGGATTTTGTTAAGTGAAACTATGCTAAGTGAAATAAGCCAGGTATAGAATGATAAATACCACATGATCTCACTTATATGTGGAATCTAAAAAAAGCTGAACTCATAGGCTGGGTGCAGTGGCTCATGCCTGTGATCCCAGCATTTTGGGAGGCAGAGAGGGGAGGACTGCTTGAGGCCAGGAGTTCAAGACCAGCTTGGGCAATATAGCAAGACCCTGTCTTTCTTTAAAACAACAAAAAAAATGTTGAACTCAAAGAAGAAGAAATAGTGGTTACCAGGGGCCTTGGGGTGGGGGAGGAAGAGGAAGATATTAGTCAAAGGGTATAAAATTTCAGTTAGGAGAAATAAGTTCAGGGTAACTATGGTACAACATGGTGAATATATTTAATAACAAAGTATTGGCGGGGATGGTGCTCATGTCTGTAATCCCAGTACTTTGAAAGGCCAAGGTGGGAGGATCGCTTGAGCCTAGGAGTTTGAGACCAGCCTGGGCAACAGAGTGAGACCCTGTCTCTATAAAAACAAAGAAATAAAAGACTGAAGTACTGTAAATTTGAAGATTGCTAAGATAGTGGATTTTAAGTGATCTCACCACAAAAAAAAATAAGTATGTAAGGTATTAGATACGCTATTTAGCTTGATTCAGTTAGTTATTCTACAAGGTATCCATATATCAAAACATCATGTTATATGCCATGAATATAGACAATTTCTGTCAGTTAAAAGTAAATAAAAATTTTTAAAAATTATCAATTTGTTAATTTTACCAAGTTGGGGCAAAAGCTTTTTAACAGTCGAGGAACTATTTAAAGCTAGTCACCAGCTTCTACAGAGATGAAGAAAACATTTTGTCCTAAGGGGTTTCTGTAGGGATCACCCCCATCTGTGCACTTCTACCTGGTAAACATGCCTTCCACTGGGTGATGAGATTAAGGTGATGGACTGTCGATCAACTAGGTCCAAGGCCTGGGTGGCTGATGAGCCAAAGAGAAACTTCAGCCTGTGAAATAAAAACACTTCAGATTAGAAGGCCTGATTCTCAAAGTCACCTCAGTAACTTGACCCAAAGGATCACTAGCCTTAGCATTTTTTAAAAATTCATTTTAATTTCGAAAAAAGGAAAATAATACAGCAAAACCCATGGACCCATTCACTCCCCAGAATTAATGATAATATCTTCTGTACTTACTTCAGATCTTCTTGTATTTTATATATATGTGTGTATATATTTTTTATATATATATATATATATATATATATATATATATATATATATATATGTTTTTTTTGTTTTGAGATGGAGTTTCACTCTTGCTGCCCAGGCTGGAGTGCAAATGGTGCAATCTCAGCTCACTGCAACCTCCACCTCCCGGGTTCAAGCGATTCTCCTGCCTTAGCCTCCCAAGTAGCTGGGATTGCAGGCATGTGCCACCACGCCTGGCTAATTTTGTATTTTCAGTAGAGACGAGGTTTCTCCATGTTGGTCAGGCTGCTCTCAAACTCCAGACCTCAGGTGATCTGCCCGCCTCGGCCTCCCAAAGTGCTGGGATTACCGTATGAGCCACAGTGCCCAGCCTGTATTATATTTTTAATACAGGGAGTACACTGTTAGTGATAAAGAAGCCCTCTTTATACTTCTTTGTAGTGCTTCCTGTACTTCCTCTTACCTTCCCCTTATCCCCGAGGTAACCACATGCATTTGTTGGTTTCCTTCCTGTTAATGTGTTCATATTAAATATTATATGTAGAACATGGCCGGGCGCGGTGGCTCAAGCCTGTAATCCCAGCACTTTGGGAGGCCGAGACGGGCAGATCACGAGGTCAGGAGATCGAGACCATCCTGGCTAACACGGTGAAACCCCGTCTCTACTAAGAAATACAAAAAACTAGCCGGGCGAGGTGGCGGGTGCCTGTAGTCCCAGCTACTCGGGAGGCTGAGGCCGGAGAATGGCGTAAACCCGGGAGGCGGAGCTTGCAGTGAGCTGAGATCCGGCCACTGCACTCCAGCCTGGGCTACAGAGCGAGACTCCGTCTCAAAAAAAAAAAAAAAAAAAAATATATATATATATATATGTAGAACATATGTATGCATACATAATAAACACATGTGCATACATGTATGCATATACATATATGATATTGTTTTAAAACATAAAAGATATATTGTAGGCTTCTTTTTGCTGTTCCTGAAATAGCTCATGAAAAATAAAATATAAAATATCATAGAATTCTTTTGGCAACTTGCATTTTTCTACTCAATGCATTTTTGAAAATGAGGCATGTTTGACAAACATCTATTTTTACTTTACCTTTGAATAATATTCCATTATATGTACACACTGAATTTTATTTAAATACCCTATGTATGGACATTCTGTGTCCATTTTATACTATTATAAATAATACTCGATTATCCCCATACGTATCCTTTGGCATACATCTCTGAAAATCCTCCTTTAGTTTATGTAACTAAAGGATACGTTCATTTTTCAACTTTAATAGATATTGCCAATAGCTCTCCAAAGTGGAAACGGGGCCAGGTGTGGTGGCTCATGCCTGTAATCCCAGCATTTTGGAAGGCTGAGGCAAGAGGATCGCTTGAGTCCAGGAGTTCAAGACCAGTGTGAGCATGTAGCGACACCCCATCTCTAAAGAAAAAGAAAAAAAAACTAAAACACATAAAAAAGTGAAAACAGGACTCCCACCAGCGCTGCGTTAAGACTTCTATTTTCTCAGGCCGGGCGCGGTGGCCCACGCCTGTAATCCTAGCACTTTGGGAGGCTGAGGCAGACAGATCACCAGAGGTCAGGAGATCAAGACCATCCTGGCTAACATGGTGAAACCCCGTCTCTACTAAAAATACAAAAAATTAGCCGGGCGTGGTGGCACACGCCTGTAGTCCCAGCTACTCAGGAGGCTGAGGCAGGAGAATCACTTGAACCCGGGAGGCGGAGGTTGCAGTGAGCCGAGATTGCGCCATTGCACTCCAGCCCAGGTGACAGAGCAAGACTCCGTCTCAAAAAACAAACAAAAAAAACAGACAGAAAAACCAGACTTCTATTTTCTCCATGTCCCCACTAACACCAGTATTATCAGGCTTTTTTAAGTTTGTCCATCTGAAGATATTAAATGTGTACTTTTTGGATTAGTAATAAGGTTCTCCAACTGTTAAATGATACACAGGAAAAAATTTTTATATGTGAGAAAATTCTTATAATGTTAAGTGAGAAAGATTGGAAAGAAAATTATATTTTAGGAACTCTCAAGCATGTTAACTTTCTTAAAGGAAAGCTACAATTATGTCAAAATTAAAAGTTTAATTTTTTTTTTTTCCTTGAGATGGAGTCTCACTCTGTTGTCCAGGCTGGAGAGCAGTGGCACAATCTCGTCTCACTGCAACTTCCGCCTCCTGGGTTCAAGAGATTCTCCTGCCCCAGCCTCCCGAATAGCTGGGATTATAGGTGCAGGTCACCATGCCCAGGTAATTTTTATATTTTTTTTAGTAGAGATGGGCTTTTGCCATGTCTCAAACTCCTGATGCCTCGGCCTCCCAAAGTACTGGGGTTACAGGCGTGAGCCACCGTGTCCGGACTTTTTTGTTTTGTTTTGTTTTTTGAGACAAGGTCGTCATCCAGGCAGACTGGATTCCAGTGGTGCAGTCATGGCTCACTGCAGCCTGAACCCCCTGTGCTCAAGTGATCCTCCCACCACCTCAGCCTCCCTAGCAGCCGGGACTACAGGTATACACCACCACACCCAGCTAATTTTTTGATTTTGTAGAGACAGGGTCTCTCTGTGCTGCCTAAGCTGATCTCAAACTCCTGGCCCCAAGTGATCCTCAAGCTTTAGCCTGCCAAAGTACTGTTACTACAGGCGTGATGCACCATGCCTGGCCAAAATTTAATTTTTGGAAAGGGCAGTAAACCAAAATTTAAGTTTATAAAAGGCAGTAAAACCAAAATTTAAGTTTATCTAGTTTATAAAAATAACCCACACTTAGGCCAGGTGCAGTAGCTCATGCCTGTAATCCCAGCACTTTGGGTTGCCAAGGAGGGAGGATCACAAGGTCAGGAGTTCGAGATCAGCCTGGCCAATATGGTGAAACCCCATCTCTACTAAAAATACAAAAATTTTAAAACATACATATTCTGGGTCAAAGAATATGTATGTTTCAAATTTTCTGTTTAAAAATAAAAACATTTAAGAGTGATTATTACTGGGTGGTATGATTATTGATGCTTTTTATAGGTTTTATTTTCCAATAAAAGTTTTTTGTAAGTGTGGGTTATTATTATTATTATTTTTGAGTTGGAGCCTCACTCTGTTGCCCAGGCTAGAGTGCAGTGGCACAACCTCGGCTCACTGCAACCTCCACCTCCCAGATTCAAGCGATTCTCCTGCCTCAGCCTCCCGAGTAGCTGGGATTACAGGCATGCGCCACCATGACCGGCTAATTTTTGTATTTTTAGTAGAGATGGGGTTTCACCATATTGGCCAGGCTGATCTCGAACTCCTGACCTTGTGATCCTCCCTCCTTGGCCACCCAAAGTGCTGGGATTACAGGCATGAGCTACCGCACCTGGCCTAAGTGTGGGTTATTTTTATAAACTAGAAAATAAAATGGCAGGGTTAAACTCAAACTGAAAAGTTAATGTTTTAAAGAACTTATATGACTTAACACAGAGTAAGACAAACCTAGTAAGTCTTCAAAATTAAAATGTTCAACTTCTTACTTCATTTTTTAACAAACCAGCCACATATAGAACAAATTATTGGGGGAAATAGAAAAGAGTGCTTTGAATTTTTATATTAAACATATGAAGATTTAGTCTACAAAATAACAAAATACAAAACACAATGAAATAGTTTGTCGGGAACCTTACCAATCAATCATAGCAGTTACCTTTAAGGATTTTTTAAGGCCAGGTGTGGTGGCTCATGCCTGTAACCCCAGTACCCTGGGAGGCTGAGGCGGGCGGAACTCCTGACCTCATCATCCGCCTGCCTCAGTGTGCGGCACCTGTAGTCCCAGCTACCCAGGAGGTTGAGGCAGGAGAATTGATGAAACCTGGGAGGCAGAGGCTGCAGTGAGCTGAGATGGCGCCACTGTACTCCAGCCTGGGCGACAGAGCGAGACTCTGAAAAAAAAAAAAAAAAAGACTTTTTTTAACCTGCTCTTTCCACTATAATACCTATTGTGAACATCTCTTGAATGCATTAAAGATTTTTCCATATCACTTTTAATGGCTACGAATAATTCTACTGTAAAGATGAATCATTTTTATTCTCTTCAAACCCCATGAATTATTGTTTCTAGGTTTTATTGCTACCACAAACAATACTGGATATTCATCACACTAAGAATATCCTCACTGTAAAATCTTTACGTCCATCTATAATTAATTCCTGGGTATATGTTCTTCTATGTGGAATTTCTGGGTCAAAGAATATGTACGTTTTAAAGTTTCTATTGCCTGTTACCCTGCAATTTATATTCCTGTTATAAATGATCCCTTTCCCCATATTTCTGTCAACTTCTTTTCTGTGGTCACTAATTTTCTAGATGAAAAGTTATGTTAATTTGTATTTTTGTGGTCACTAGTAAGATTTATCTTTTTCCTCCCAAAGTATTTGGTTATTTGCATCTTTTATTCTTTGCCCTTTTGTTTTTAAAGTAGTACATTTTTTTCCAGTAACATTTAATTCTTATTAAAAATTTAAGAAATACAGTAAAGGTTACAGCCCTTCCCTCAATTCTACCTCCTTCCTTGCCCCGAAGAAAAAACAGTGGTAGAGCTTGGTATATATTCTTCAGAACTTTAATTTTTTTAGAGACGAGGTCTCACATCACCCAGGCTGGACTGTAGTGCCACAATCATAGCTCACTGCAGCCTCGAACTTCTGGGCTCAAACAATCCTCCTGGAACAGGTTTTTTTTTTTTTTTTTTTTTTTTTGAGACAGTCTTGCCTCTGTCACCCAGGCTAGAGTGCAATGGCACT